ATACTCCTTTTGATGCAGCTCAAATTCACGTTTTAGCTGCTGCATCACACTGTTGGCTCATGTTCAACTTGTCTTTCTGAAGACAAGAAAAGGAGACCCCATTACTTCTCAATATAATCCAGTGGTTCTCAATCCGTGCCCTCCCCCAGGTGTTTTGGCCTACAACTCCCAGAAATCCCTGCCAGTTTACCAGCTGTTGGGGTCCCTGGTGGTGCAGAAGGTCAAACCGCTGAGCTGCTGAACTTGCTGACCAAAAGGTTGACTGTTTGAATCTGGGGAGCGGGGTGAGCTTCCGTTGTTCACCCTAGCTTCTGCCACCCTCGCAGTTCGAAAACATGCAAATGTGAGTAGATCAATAGGTACCGCTTTTGCAGGACGGTAATGGCACTCCATGCAGTCATGCTGGCCACATGACCTTGCAGGTGTCTATGGACAATATCGGCTCTTAACCATAGAAATGGAAATGAGTATCAACCCTTAGTCGGACACAATTAGACTTAATGTCAGGGAAAACCTTTACCTTACCAGCTCTTAGGATTTCTGGAACTTGAAATAAACTTATGTTTATGTTGATAATATTATGTTGATAATACTATAATGTAATACAATATAACACTACTAATAATAATACGATATTATAATTATATATTTTATATTAAAAGTAATATTACTATTAATATTACAGAATAATGTTATAGTACAATATAATAATATATAATATTAATATTGTGCTATGCTAATAATATAATGTATTGTATTTACATTTTACTTGTAAGCCACTCTGAGTCCCCTTCGGGGTGAGAAGGTCGGCATATAAATGTTGTAAATAAATAAATAAGGCCAAAACATCTGGGGACCCACAGGTTGAGATATAATCGATTCCACTGCCCAATTAGCTCTGACTGCCAAGACATTCCATCTAATGTTCAATCAAAATCTATTTCCCTGTAACTTCAAACCATCGGGCCTCAATGACTGATTATCTGTAGATTTCACTGTTCTTCTCTGTAGATCTTTTGCATCCTTGTGTTTTTGGCTTTTGTGACTGTCACACATCTTTACAGGAAATTCAAGTTTACTCTCCTGGAAATACATAGGTAAGATTAAAGACACAAAATCTGTGCACAAAATGATACATTTATTGAAAGAGTATTTTTTTTTAATACAAAAGAAAGCTCTGTACATAGTACTGCGATTACTGTCACATCCTTCCAGAAACACAACCCTGGAAATTAACAAACCACACACACACACACAGCCACTCACGCGAACACACGCACACACACGCACACACAAAACCCCAAAACAATCTGTAAAGTGAACTAAAAAGATCACCACACAATAAATGCCATTTCATCCCTGATAAGTGTTCTTACAAGTCAACACTTTAAATTGCATGCAACATTAGCGTTTAACCTGCGTATCCTTTCTTGGAGGGGAGAAGTTTGTAAAGGAAAAATAACGAGTGAGTCAGTGGAGAAACCACAGCATTAGAAACAAGGGCAGGAAAAGAAACACAGGGGGCAAATTTAGAGAAGAGCATGCATTTCTTGAGTTTGGCATCCTTTCCTTATTTAGGAGGCAACTTTTGAGTTAGAAGCCTGATTTAAAACTGCATTCTCTGCTAATGTGCCTCTTTCACCATTGACACCATAATACTTCAGCAGTTCCCTCTCAGGGAAAAAAATAATTTTAGAGAGCAACATCCAAGAATCCACATGTGGACTTCGACTCATGCTTCCATACTACACAATTTCCTGAAATACCTCTCCACTTCCCCTTCAATTTCTGCTCTAGAGGGTCTTCTAACCCTTTAGGACAGTAGTTCTCAACCTGTGGGCCCCCAGGTGTTTTGGCCTACAACTCCCAGAAATCCTAGCCAGTTTACCAGCTGTTAGGATTTCTGGGAGTTGAAGGCCAAAACATCTGGGGACCCAAAGGTTGAGAACCACTGCTTTAGGACAAACTGGGAGAGACACAGTAAGCTGTATGGAGAATGTGGAGCTTATTCTGGTAATGGATGATGACATGGCCGATGAATGGACAGCAGTAATAAAATTTATATGAAAACAGCTATTTACCAGCAAATCAATGTATTGTCATGTATAACTCCCTGGGAGCCAGTAATTTCTTATACACCTGCCATAGGGAGAACACCATTACCTTTGTTCCCACCTGCATGAACAAGTATAGTAAAAAAAATTACCACCACACAACTCAGTTCAGATTTCTAGCCCACAAAGTAGTTAGTCACGTACGGATAAGAATGATATGTACTTACTGATTACAAAGACCGGGTCAAAAAATATTATAAGTTTTTCAAGTAACTAGAAAAAGGGAATTTTCAAAAAGAAGGATTCTTGGCATTTCACATATTCTGGAAGAATCAGATTTTTAAAAATGATTTATGCTCTCCATGCCACTCTGTCTTCTTTAAAAAAAATGGAAGAAGTATTCAGCTCAAAGCTTAATGGAAGAATTTGCTGTCCATGATTAGGGTTAAGGTATAAACTGGAAGAAAGCACACATTCATGGACTTCAAAAGTTAGTTTGCTTGGGCCACAAGTAATTTTTGAGTGGATTGTCATGTCTGAAGATGGGAAAAGAAAGGGGAGATTAGGACAATATGATGCATTGGTATCTCTCTTGACCCATCTTCCAACATATAAACAGAAGAATCCTGCTCCTCCAGTTGCTGGGTGCTGAAAACATACCATTAAATACACTTGTTGCAGGGAACATCTGGCCAATTACATGTTTTGGAATTCAGCTTCAATAGTATAACCAGCGATAAGGGGGTATGGAAGCTGTAGACCAAAATATCTCTACAAGGTATCTAAATGCTTCCTAATACTTCATCACACTAGAGAATGAATCCACTTTAAATCCGGTTTCTGCTTCCTGCAGAATTCTGGGGTTTCTAGTTTAGCGAGGCTGTCAAAGGCTCCTCCCTAAACTACAAATCCCAGAAGTCTGTAGGAAGAAGAATTGGATTTAAAGTGGATTCATTCTCTAGTGTGATGAAGTATCTAGCCTTGAAATATGCACTGGCTGAGGCCTGATCCCTACTGGAGAAAGTTCTCTATCACTGCACACTTTACTATTAGCTGTAAACCAGAACTTGAAAAGGTAATTTTTGGCATATAACACCCACAATCCTCAGCCAGCATGGCCATACTAGCCAGGGGATTGTAGGAGTTATAGTCCAAGAATATGATCTTTTCAACAGCTGTAAATCCTGCCTGAGTGAGCTCCTTTCTCCATCTGCTCAACACAGGGGCTTGAGGGAGAGGACCAGTTTAAACGCTAATGTTCATGCAAATCATTTCAAAAGGTTACAATAAAAATTTAAAAGGCCCCTTTCTTCTCCTTCCCCACTCTCCACCCCACGGTCCTTTCCTCTCCCACCCTCCTCCCGCCCCCAAGTACAAACCCCATGAAAACTGTACAGGAGCCAGACTTTAATTCCTTTAAGAATTACATAAATACTGAGTTTAACACTTAGAAAAATAAAGTATTTTTTTCAAGGCTTCTTTTGTTTTTTAATTTAAAAAAGAGAAGAGAAAGGTTACAGCAGCTGCTTCCTTTCTCTAAATGTCTGCAGCCCTCTTGCTTCAAAGCTGGCCCTTGTTGTGGGGTTGGGGGAGCACACATAAAGACCACTGAGCTGTTCACAGCAGGTTAGTCCTCCTTTCCCATGGCAGGGACATGAAGAACTGGTTTCCCTCCAGCTTGGTTAGAAAGAAGTGCATGATTGTGTGCAAGCAAATACTGTGATGCACAGCTCAACCACCAAGCACTCCCTTTCCCATCCAGAAATTGGAAACATTACCTCTTTTGGACTGCAGCTCCCAAAACCATGATGTCTGGGGAGATTCTCAGAGTTGCAATCCCAAAAAGTAACTTTTCCAAGCACTGCCTCTCACTGATAGCACAGGTTGCCTCCAGTTGCACACCTGAAGCTTTTCCCTTTTTTGTTTTTGCAATTGTTGGCTCCCAAAGCATCTCCTGTGAGTCAATGCAGCAAGGAGTTTCTCTAAAGCACACAGACATGACATCAGACGGCTACGACTCCAGTCATGCTCCCAACTGCTCTGGGGTTGTCCTATTCCAGCATTATGTTTAGTTTTTTGGAGTACCTGGCCTAGAATACCCAGTCAGCATATCCTGTTGTCATGGCATCTTAGGGATTCTGGGAGTTGTGGTCCAAAAATTTAACTTATCCAAGCACCAGCCCTGACATATCCAGCTGGATCCAATTTAGGGGCAACAGACTCTGAGGAAGCATCTCCTAGCACAGTGGTTCTCAACCTGTGGGTCCCAAGGTGTTTTGGCCTACAACACCCAGAAATCCCAGCCAGTGAACAAGCTGTTAGGATTTCTGGAGGTTGAAGACCAAAACATCTGGGGACCCACAGGTTGAGAACCACTATCCTAGCAGATGGAGGCTGAGCACGAAGACAAGGCAACACCCTATCTCATTCTTGGCTATCTAGGGAAGAAACGAAAATATCTTATCCTCTGAAAATGCCAGTCACAGATGCAGGCGAAACGTCAGGAGAACATGGCCTAACAGCCCAGAAACCACACAACACCTCAGTGTTTCCAGCCATAAAAATGTTTGACAAAAAATCATAAACTGGTATAGATCACAGTAAGACCCCTCCAGCTGTGGAAACTATAACCACAGAGTCACTTAACCATGCCTGAAGAAAGAGAGCCCCTCAATGAATCCTCCATGTATGTTTCTTCTAGAGCAGGCAAGGGCAAACTTGGGTCCTCCAGGTGTTTTGGACTTCAACTCCCACAATTCCTAACAGCCTACTAGCTGCTAGGAATTGTGGGAGTCGAAGTCCAAAACACCTGGAGGGCCCAAGTTTGCCCTTGCCTGGTTTAGAAGATACCATTAAATTGCATTACTAGAGAGAATAGTTCTTGAGGAATTTCTAGGCCTTCTGGTGTAATTCATGGTACACTGGCACCAGAAGTAAACAATGCTGTTCAGTAATCTCTGTGGCTTCAGGTGCCCTGCTGATAAGGAAGTCTTACTGTACTGCACCCCATTTGTGAATACAACTGCCTTGGGATGGACCAATGATTCAAGTTTTTAAAGCACCGCCTGCTCATTTTCCAAATGTATTTTCCATTTTATTCCCTAATGTTTCAACTCTTCTATTTTCTCAAGAGAAAAGCAGTGGCAAAACCTCTGAGAGGATAACCCCCCAAGTACCACACAAGGCCATGGAGCAATTGCAGCTGCCAGGCGTTTGAGTCACTGGATGTGTATTCTTAAAAAATAAAAGGAAATGTGGCTAACAAACACCCTTTTTGGCAGTGAAATGGTGGTGTGTAGCCAGGCAAGAAGCTGTTGCCTCTCACGTCATGCAGCCACTCAAATCTGTTCATACATTCTGGGAGAGGAACCCCTCAGGAGGAAGTTCAAGATCCTCTGCTTTCTGCCCTCTCCCCAACTAACGTGGGCGCCAATGGGAACAACCCCTTTTCACAAGCTGAGGATAAAGGCAAGAGGCCATTGCGATGGCCAACCCACAATGCATCACTGATTGCTTGAAGGCACAATGCTGCAGCCAGCTGGAGGACCTGAACCTAGGAGCAAGGGGAAAGAGAGGTGGCTCTCTGCCCCAGCAGAGGTAAAAAGAAAAAAAGGAAGGAAGTCTATGATTGAAAAAGGAACTCCCTTTTTTATGACGGCTTTAAGCCCTTCTGCAATCCAACTCTTCCCAACAGCCTCAGGCGTCCGGCCTTGGAGGCACTAGACTGGGGAAGTGGCTGGATATCCTATGGACATTATGTCAGGGACGGGAAGCGAGAGAAAGACCTCCCGCAATGAAAACAGAAAGTGTTATATACACGGCGGAGCTAACCCTCCCACCCGTGAGAGACCTTTTCTTTGGCTGGAGTGTAGAGGAAAAAAATGACCACCACCAACCTCCCAACAAAACACAAAAAGCACAGTAAATGCAGCATTCATATGCAACAAAGCTCCCCCCGCCCTCCCACTCGCCAGTCCCAATGCCCAGGCTCAGCTCCTGCTGCTGGCCACGCAGCCACTTTTAGTGTACGTGTGTGTGTGTGTGTGTTTATGAGTCAGTGTAATGTGTGAGAGAAGAAAAAAAACGTGAAAAAGGCAACAATAAATAAGTGACGGAGTCCATACAAAAATAGGGACCACAAAGATCCTGGTGCAGCTTGAGGAGTGACACAGATCCTGGGGCTGTGCAGAGCACAAAAGCTGGAGGCGACGGTCGCAGCGGCGGCTGTGGGTTTGGGTGCCAGGTACACTCTTCCTTCCCTCCCCCCAACCAGGTCCTCCCAGAGTTGCTCAGTCACCCTTGGAACTGTGTGACGTGTCTAAGTTGACCACCTGCAGCTCTGTCAAGTTGCTGCTGCCGCTGGACTGCTGCCCAATAACAGCCATCTGGGAAGATACAAAAGGATAAAACAAGTCAGTCAGAATTCAAAAACATAGTAGGGCTAGTCTGGAATATCAGCATGTGAAGGCATCTTGCAGCACTTTAGATACTATCTTAATTAAAGCTCTATGACTACAACCTAAGTTTGGAAATGTTACTTCTTTGGACTATAACCCCCAGAAGTTTCCCAGCCAGTGGTTATATTACTCCAAGCTCCTGTCCTCACACAGCCACAAGATCATGACCATTTAGGGCAGGCATGGGCAAACTTTGGCCCTCCAGGTGTTTGGTGAGCTCACTGGAATTTCTGGGAGTTGAAGTCCAAAACTCCTGGAAGGCCGAAGTTTGCCCATGCCTGATTTAGAGAAAAGGCAGAAAGCATGGGCATCACAACATGAATCAATACTATATCCACTGTTTATGTGGAAATAAGAGGAGGAAGCGATCTATGCCACAGGTTTGAAGCATTTAGCTAGGAATACACTGATTCCCTCAAATGTCACATGACAAAGTGGCTGCCTGTTCCAACCACGTGAAATGACTATGAAGCAAGAGAAGGAACGTACAAATATTTCCATTAAAGATGGATTTTATGTGAATGTGAAAATGAGAGGACCAAAATAATACATTGCCTTGAGAATGAATATGTAAAGGAAGTCAATAGAAGTCCCTTATCTGCAAATATCCATGGTTTCACTTACGTATGCTCCAAAAAAATCTTCCTCCTGGAAGTGTTTGTGGGTCTCTCTATTAAAGTGTTATTCTATGGTCTGCTTCCAGCCCAAACACAGTCAAAATATAGGATTCACTATTATCCACAGTTTTAGTAATGCATGGGTGTCTTGGAACATATCCCCAGTTTCAGACTCTCCTTTCCTGAGCATGTCAACAGCTGAATGCACTTTCAGCTTGAGTCCAGTTGCATCATTACACACAGAAACTCCCTCCTGGGCACACAGGAGACTGAGCGACTTGGAAGGCGCTGAACGGACTGCGTTCTAGTACCACAAGATGCAGAGCCAATCTTAAGAAATAGGGCTACAAAATGGAGTCCATGACATATGAGTGCGGAGAAGAGCAAACCACTGACCATCTACTACAATGCAGTCTGAGCCCTTCCACATACACATTGGAGGACCTTTTTACAGCAACACCAGAGGCACACAAAGTGGCCCGGCCTGTTTATGTTGGATAAGCGAGACTCTACTGTGCATGCAAATTTCAACACTTGTCTAACATTTCCATCTGCAATGCCTTTTCCTGCTTCTGACATCCTGGAAGACCTAGGAGGCCAAGCTTAGTAAGAACAAAAGGATTTGGTATTGAAGTAAAATCACCATATTTGTAAAGAATACATTTCAAGTTAGACAGAAGTGAAACCGGGATACGGGTTCCTCTGTTACAAGAGTCTTACTATATTTAATTTTTTTTTAATAGAACAAAGTCTAAGGCCTAAAAGTTTGACCACAAATTTAAGGGGTGCAAAGAATATCAGCAGCTTTATAGAATAATCCTATTGGTGCCCCATAACCTAAACATGGATATAAGGAAACACACAAGACAGTAGTGTCAACTCTGTTCTCCACCCACCTGATGAAGCTGGACAGCTGAGACTGGGATTTGCACCGTTCCTGAAGGTGCTGTAAGGAACACCTGAGGAACGCCACCTGCCAGATAGAAAACCACAGGCATGCAGTTAGCTGTGATCTACAATTAGTAACGTGACAAGGCTATCTTTCAAGGCTATAGAATAAATAAGCTATAAATCAGATGGCAAAACCAAAAAAGAAGAAAAACCAGGATTGTTAAAATGGCTCCCTAAGTATTTCCTGAGTACATGTAATAAGTGGCCAAAAATTATTTCTCTAGAGCTCCACTTTCTTATCTCTGTTAAATTTCAGTGTTGCGAACCATCTTGGCAGATTCATCTTAGAAAAGGACTGGAATGCCAACAACAACAACCACAATAGCTTTCAGATTTGCAATATATATATATGTATGTCTGAGGAAGTAGGACACAAAAGAACTGACCGGACAGCAAACTCATATGAAATGTGCTGGAGAAGAGATACTGTAGATACCAAGGACTGTCAAAAAGACAAAGAAATGGGTCCTACAACTAATTGAGCCAGAATTCTCATTACAAGCCATTAATAGTAGTAGTAGTAGTAGTAGTAGTAGTAGTAGTTATTATGTTTATGTTTATTATGTCTATTATGTTTTTTATACCCCGCTTTCTCTCTTTACAAAAGAGACTCGTGTTATTTGACTGAAGCTATTTGCTATTTGGTTCACCATTCTCTGCAGTTTTACGTATCCATGCAAAGTCTGGGAATGTAATCTCAATGGATGTGGATGTTGTACTGTGTTTTTGTCAGTTACCACTTAAGGTGACCTTCTACATGCATCTCCCTATATCCAGAAAAGCTTTCTAATGGCGGACAGGAACAGTATGGGGTAATTACATCAAGGGTTGAAGCAAGGAATGACAATTTAATGGCATGAAAATTGGTGTCTCAACTTATGCAAAGCATCGATTATGAAAGTACTAGCACAGACACACAGGAAAAATCTCTTAAATGGCAAACTCCTCAGAATAGGCACCAGTCCATGCATACTGCCTGTGGGTGTATATATATATTCTCTCTAAAATGGCCCATAAGCAAAACATGGCAAAATTGGACTGTTTGCCCTGTGGTAAGAGCTAGGTAAGTGTTCATCCCCAGGCTTACCCTGATCCTGGACCTGCCCATGTGAAACCTGCATTGCTGATGGCGCCTGGGAGAAGGCGTTGAGAACGGCCAGCCCACCGTCCGTGAGGCCTGATGTTGGCGCATACATCACTGCGTGAGAGCTGGGGTACATCATGTGGCCTCCCACGGTGGTTGGCACTGATGAAGTCATGATAGTAGCTGGCAAGGTCACTAGAAGACAAGGAAAGAAAAGGGAAAAAGAAGAATCCCAGTCAAATGGATGACATCACACCTGCAATGCTCTGTCTCTCATGTCTGATCTATTGAAATTAGTTACCTCATTTAGTTTAAATACAGACCTGTTCACATAATTAACAAATACACAGTGGTTTCAAGAAAAGCAAATTGAAAATATACATCTAAGAACTGCTCCCTTCTTCATGGCGGACTCTGGTTGGATGGACATCTTTTCATTTTCTCAGTCAAGAGCAATTAATTTCTGCAGTATTCTCCCTACTGGATGAGACCACAAAAATGTCTGCATAGTTCATGCTTTGGAAAGTACCATATTTCTTCAATTCTAAGATGCCATAGACTGAAAGATGCATAATAATATCAGTGCACCAACAGAAAAAAATCCTTCATATATATATATATATATATATATATATATATATATATATATGAAAATCACCTGCAGTTCTAAGATGCACTTCATTTTTAAAGATGTTTATATGTGGAAAAAGTGCATCTTAGAATTAAAGAAATAGGGTACTTATCTGTGCAAGAATATACTTTCTAAATACAAAATCACATTTTTTGTGTAGTAAATATTCTGTATAGAAATATAATATCTGTACAGAAAACTTGTTTCCTGCACAGAAAAAATTTCTACGCAAAAAACCCACATATATCTTGCTTGCGGTGAATCTTTTGCAAAGTACACATAAACCTTTTGCAAAGTGTCAATAGCCTCACAATAGCCTTGCAGCTGCCTGTATTTCTCCATATCGAGTGGGTGTCCTTGGCCAAGAAATGAATAGCAAATAAATGCTCTTTCCATGTTGAGTCCTTGGTCCCATGCAACCTTATCATGCACACTTAAGGTCACCAGGTGGCCTTAAGTGCCCTTTTAACAGTTGTATAAAAGGAGGAATTTCAGCAGATGTTGTTTGTATGGCAAGCAAACCTGCTGAAATTCCCTCTTTTACGCAACCATTATAGCAGTGGTTCCCAACCTGTGGTCCATGGACCACCGGTGGTCCGCGAGAACTAAAACATGGTGCGCAGCCTCATCGTTGGTACACCGTTACAACGAAAGCAACTGGTCTTGTGAAACCCTCTTATTAAATATGGTTTTCTGTGGGCAAACAGACATTGACTACTGGATGGCATATGTTCTGTATTAGAAACTAGAGCTGATGTGGTCTATCAAATGTAATTTTCTGAATCGGCACCCCAACCAGATCTAAAGTTGACCAAAACTGATTTGCAAGCCTTTTGGTACTAATATAGGAGTGTGGTCTCTGGTCAAACTGGTCCATGATCAAAGTGGTTGCAAGTCAAGTGGTCCTTGGTCTAAAAAAGATTGGGAACCACTGCATTATAAGATCAAAATGCTGTCACTTTTATCACCTGGAAACTCTAAACACACATGACACACATGACAGCTTTCCAATACAAGACTAGGAAACTTAGTGCATTGTCACACTACACTTTAAAGAAGGCATGGGCAAACTTCGGCTCTCCAGGTGTTTTGGACTTCAATTCCCACAAATCTGAGGTTTGTAGTTTAGGGAGGGACTTTTCTCAGACAGAGACGTCCTGGATCTCACTAAGCTACCAACCCCAGAATTCTTCAGGTGGAAGCCACAGAGTTTAAAGTGGGATAACAACTCTTTAAAAGTTAGTGTAGTCCCCAATTGCTCATAAAGGAGACCCTTCATCTTGCCTCTCTGTTTCTATTATTAGCTTGTGTTATAAAGGCTTGGAATGCCTACACAACTGTACAATGTGCCTTCACCAAGACACAAAGGGCACTTCAAGTGATTATCTTTCTCAGGAATGTTACCAGCACACTCAATGCACTTTTTAGAAGCACTCATAATGTGTAAAAATGTGTAAAAAAATTATTGTTGGACGATCTGAACAGGGAAAAATGAAACCCAAAAATAACACTAATCCAAAATGGCAAAAAGAAACGTGTTGGTCTGAGATCAAGTAATGGCACAATTTACCACTCTGAAGACTGAACGTTCCTACGGTGCTGTTAAAAGGAAGTGAGGGCTTAGGTGGGAAACACATTGGTATGGCATGCAGGGAGTGGATGGGGTTACTGCAAAAACACTCCTATAAGAGCTCTAAAAGGTTATGAATGTTGCAACGCACAGGAAAGTCATTTGTGTGTGTCACAGAGCCCATAAAGAAGAATTTGTGAAGAAGTTCACCTATGCTTGTGTTTTACAGTTCCTTTATTTTGTGCCTTTATTTTTTGAAAAGACACACATTAAAAAATGTACATCACTCTAAGCACCTTCTTGACCAAAACTATGTGCCGCCGCTTGTTATTAAAGGCATGGGCAAACTTTGGCCCTCCAGGTGTTTTGGACTTCAACTCCCACCATTCCTAACAGCCTCAGACTGTTAGCAGGCTATTCAATGCTAATCAACATGATCAATTACAACATTCACACTTGCCTCAAGCAAAGAGTTCTTTCTCCCACTCTGGATATTCCACAGATATATAAACCCCACTTGCCTTGTTTCCAACAGATTTCACAACCTCTGAGGATGCCTGCCATAGATTTGGGTGAAACGTCAGGAACATGGCCAGACAGCCCGGAAAACTCACAGCAATCCAGTGATTCCGGCCATGAAAGTCTTTGACAACACATTGTCTGTATTGTTTGACTAGGAAAGAGGTATGGGAACTTCTCCAAGTGAATCCCACTAGATGGCACTCAAACACCACTTTATTACTTTCTTCAGACTTTGAGTTTTTAAAATAAAATACTATCTGCTCTGACTAGTGATGGGCTGCTGAACTGAAGGGGATTGTGACCTTGTACGCACTGATTCGCTTTTGCACACTATGCAGTGCTTGGGGCAAAACTACTTTGGAATAAATGCCAATTATTGTGAAGAGTTGCCATCGCAAAGGCAAGAAGATCACAGCAGACAGCATAAGGCTCCAACATTTTCTCACAGAAGAAGCACCGAAGCATTATAGCATTTGGAAGGAACCTTGGAAACCATCTATCCTCAAGCCTGTGCTCAGTGTGGGATCTGCAATGCAGGATCCTGGATATACGGCCATCCAGTTTTGGCATCAACACCTCCATCAACTGAGACGTTAACACTTCCTGAAGCAGACTGCTTCCTTGAGGTGCAATAGACACAGTCGGTTCTCAAGCAGTCAGTTCTCTTGCTCTCTCCTGAAATTCTGTCCAAATTTGATGCTTTCCTATTGCTACATATATTGATTGCACACCTGCCCTCTGAGGAATGGCCCCATTTTTCAGAGGGACAGCCCTTCAAATCTGAGGATGAAAGCTTGGACTAGTAAAGCTCCCAGTTCATCTCCAAGGTGCTGCAAGATCCTCCTGTATACTGATATTCCAGACTAGCACAGCTATGCTTTTGAATTCTAGACTTTCAGGTGTTTCAAGAGAGCTGCCATGAGAAAAATCTAGGCTGGCCCCCATGGCTACACATCTATCTTTAATCCAGCTACAGAAAATCTGGAAGCTGCACCGACCCCCTTTTCTCTCATGGCTGATTTTTTAAAATGCTAGTCAATGATTCTAACGCCCCGCTCCATTTGGCAGCAATGGGAAACATTGGCGGCTTTGGCAGGCCATTTACAACCTGGACATTTTCCATCCCTTATAACAGGGTTCTCAACCTTCCTAATGCCGCGACCCCTTAATACAGTTTCTCATGTTGTGGTAACCCCCAACCATAAAATTATTTTCGTTGCTATTTCATAATTGCAATTTTGCTACTGTTATGAACAGTAATGTAAACATCTGATATGCAGGATATATTTTCATTCACTGGACCAAATTTGGCACAAATACCCGATACACCCAAATTTGAATACTGGTGGAGTTGGGGGGATTGATTTTGTCATTTGGGTGCTGTAGTTGCTGGGATTTATAGTTCACCTACAACCAAAGAGCATTCTGAACTCCATCAATGATGGAATTAAACCAAACTTGGCACAAAGAACTCCCATGACCAACAGAAAATACTGGAAGGGTTTGGTGGGCACTGACCTTGAGTTTGGGAGTTGTGGTTCACCTACATCCAGAGAGCACTGTGGACTCAAACAATGATGGATCTGGACCAAACTTGGCATGAATACTCAATATGCCAAACTGGTGGAGTTTGGGGAAAATAGACCCTGACATTTGGGATTTGTAGTCCCTTGAACCTCACCAACAATAGAATTGAGCCAAATTTCCCACACAGAACCCTCATGACCAACAGAAAATACTGGAGGGTTTTGGGATTCTCTGTCTGTTTCCAAAAAGGAAGAGAAGGGCAGGCGGACAGATCTTCAGCCTTCTCTGCCAAAATAGTTCCTAAGACCATCAGAAATATGTGTTTTCTGATGGCCTTTGGCAACCCCTCTGAAATCCCCTCATGATCCCCCCCCCCCCAGGGGTCCCAACCTCCAGGTTGAGAAACATTGCCTTATGAAGATATCAGAAACTGAAAGGCTTTACATGGAGCTATGCTGTCCTATCTTGCAAAACCCAAAACATCCTTTGCCGTCTAGATATTGTGGACTCCAATTCCCAACACTCCCAAGTGACTCTTTTTGGGTTGGGAAAATCACACAGAGGGCGCCATGTTGGGTGGCTTAAGGAGGGATTTAGGGTAATGGGCTGTATTTGGTGGAGCCTTACCTGTCCCGCTGGAAGAGGTCTGGGTGAGATCAGTGCTGCTGTCGCTTGTGGGAGACGTCTGCTGGGGGGCTTGATGCACTTGGATGGCTTGGACGGGGACTTGTTGAGCCACAGCACCACCTGGAAAGAAGAAAGGGAAAAAAAGGATTCCTATTATCTCCTTGGCCTAGTGTCGCTTTTATTTACTGCAGTTTTATTTTCATATAATTTATTTATTTCGTATCAAAAGCATTGCATACATAAGTGTACAACTGATAAAAATAGAAAGAGCACAAGCGGATAAATAATTTTGGACCAAAACTGGGCAACAGCAACCACATTGTCATTAGCTTTAAGCAATTCTTCCTCTGTTCATGATGCAGAGCATTGTGGGCAAGCATACAGTTGCAGAGTTGTTTGTTCTGCTCCACAGTCGAACAAGGTGGAGGATTCTTTTAGGTAGTTCCATTTTGCCAGTTTGTCTTTTGATCTGCCCACTCCACTTCTGAGTCTGTTCAGGGATTTCCTGAACATAATATGGTAGTGCCATTTTTGTACGATCTGATGTAGCATTCTCTGCAACCTCTCTCACAGAAGTGAGCAACATTTACTGCAGTGATAAAATTCCAGAGTTTGAAAGTGTAATTCAGGCAATTCCCAAATTCCCACTGGCCCAGCAGGCTAGAGAATTCTTCAGACTGTCATTCCAAAAAGTAACTTCCCACGTTCAGGCATCTTATCAGAGCTATTAAGTCAAAACAATTGCATTTCCTATAAGTAAGAGCAACGTTTTACAAAATGCTTTTGAACTATTTATGAAATGTATTCATAAATCACTTCTCCACCTACTCATGGCAGCATACAGAATTCAGATTTAAAGAAGCAGAACAAAAACAAATACATCCAAATAAAAGGAAATGAAAAAATTAGAACATTTTATCACTATAAAATCCAAACACAACAATAAAAGTCAACAAAGGCAGGGCAAAACAATACGGTATTTTTTTTCCGTGTCCGGAGCGACTTGAGAAACTGCAAGTCGCTTCTGGTGTGAGAGACCTGGCCATCTGCAAGGACGTTGCCAGATGACGCCCAGATGTTTTACCATCCTGTGGGAGGCTTCTCTCATGTCCCCGCATGGGGAACTGGAGCTGACAGATGGGAGCTCACCCCGCTCCCTGGGTTCGAACTGAAACCTTTTGGTCAGCAGTCTTGCCAGCACAAGGGTTTAAGCCATTGTGCTACTGGGAGCTCCAGCTAAAGTGTAATAAAGAGGGAGCTAAATTAAGATCCCTCAGGAAGAAATTGTACAATCAAAATGCTGCTACAGAAAAAGCCCTGTCTCAAATGACCACTGACATAACCCTTCTCATCAGGACATACTAATAGGATCTTCAATGAATATTTAAGTTATTCACAGATTCATATAGGTGGAATTGTTCTTTCAGGGACTTTATTTAGTTGTTATGGTTGTTCGGCCCACCATGTGGCTCCGGAGCCACATGGTGGGCCGGAGCAGGGTGGGTGAGTTGGAAGGGAGAGAGGGGGTTCTCCCCAAGCCCCCTTCCTGCCCTTTCCTCCCCCTCCTCTTGTCTTCCAGAGGCAGAAGGTGAAGGAAAGATGGGAAACATTTGGATCCCAAAAAGGATTGGCCTTGGTCAGGATGAGATGGTGGACGGGAGAGAAAAATGTATCCATTAGATTCTGTATTGCCTACTCTTGATACAGAATCCTAGAGCTGGAGCAGACCCCCAATGGCCATCCAGTCCAACCCCCTGCCATGCAGGAAAGCACAACCAAAGCACTCCTGATAGACAGCCTCTGCGGAAAAGCCTCCAGAGAAGGAGACTTCACCACACTCCGAGGCAGCTTACACCACTCTCTAGGAAGTTCTTTCTAATCTTTTCAGTCAAATCTCTTTCACTGCTATTTGAAACCATTGCTCCCTTGTGCCTGGGAGCAGAATAAAATCAGTTTTCTCCCTCCTCCTCAATAGGACACCCTTTTAAATCTGAAACATGGTTCTCATCTTCCTTCTCTAACTTCTCTTCTCCCAGATAAACATCCCCCAGAAGGAAACAGAGAATGAAGGAAAGAAGGAAGGAAGGGAGGAAGAGAAGGATAGAAGGAAGGAAGGGTGGAAGGGAAGGGAGGGAGGAAAGACAAAACGGAAGGAAAGGAGAACTAGAAGGAAGGAGGGAGGAAAGAGGGAAGGAAGGGAGGGAGGGAGGATGGTAAGGAGGAAGGAAAGAGAGAAGGAAGGAAGGATAGGATGGTGTGAGAGAGGAAGGCCTGAGAAGCCTGGGTTTGCCCATACTCGTGTTATACCTAGGGCATCCTATTAGACATTTAATTGCATTTTGGGACTCTTTAGCTGGTCTCTAGAGCAGCAGAAAGTCAGTTTTCCCCCTCTTTCTCCTCAATGGGACACCCTTTGAAATCTTGAAACATGGTTCTCATGTTCCCTCTCTACCTTCTCCCAGCTAAACATCCCCCAGGAAGAAAGGAGGAAGGAAAAAGAGAGGAAAAAAGGGAGGAAGAGAAGGATGGAAGAGAAGGGAGGGAGGGAAAGACAAAAGGGAGGGAGGGAAGGAAGGAGAGAGAGAGAGAGAGAGAGAGAGAGAGAGAAGGAGAGAAGAGGGAAGGAAGGATGAAAGGGTAGAAGGGAAGGAAGGAGGGAAGGAAGGAAGGAAGGATAGGATGATGAGAGAGAGAAGGAAGGAAGGATAGGATGATGAGAGAGAGGAGGGCCTGAAAAAGGGGCCCAAGGGGCCACATCTTGCCCCCACGTCTAGGTTTGCCCATACCTGAGCTAGACTGATGTTAGATGCGCATTTTAGAGATCATATATTGTAAGAATTTTTAAGAACCAAACTGGCTTCCAATTTGCTTTCAGACCCAATTCAAGGTACTGGTTTTGACCTATAAACTTGACTTGGGGCCAGCCTATCTGAACAACCACCTCCTCTATCTATATAAGCCTACCAGAAATATGAGGTCTCCCCATGTCCCAGCACCTTATGAAGTTAGGTTATAGGATAATACAACTACTACTAATACTAATACATATAACAATACATATAACAAGGCTTTGTCTGTAGCAGCGCCTTCAGTGTGGAACTCCCTAGGAGAGGAAATGAGGCTGGCTCCATCTCTTTTAAGCTTCTGGTGGACAGCCAAAACTGCTGTTCTGCATGGCATTTAATGTTTATTTATTCATCACCTCAGCAGCTCTTGTGGACTAAAAGGCAACAAAGAAATACTTTAAACAAATAAACAAGACATAATAAAATCTGCATGTGAAAGACATCTTAAAAGCATTCCTTATACACCTATAAGGAAGAGGCATCTATCCCTAAATATCACCATAAACTTAACACACTAAGGTTATAAAAAGGATGAACTGTGAGAGTTATGGGATATTTACGGACCCCAATGAGAATTCTATTTAGAATTGTGATTAGGATTAGGTGCTTTCTGTCTTTCCTGACGCATGTGAGAATTCCACTTTTGCACCTAAAGCCCTCAAACACAGCCAAATGATTAAATTTCGCAGCATACCATTCTGTACTGCATCATAGTCTACCAGAAAAACAGCATTTGACTTTTATTTTTATTAGGGGTTTTTTGTGCTAATACCCTTTGGCAAAACAGGATAGATGTGTTCCATCGTATCTAACCTGCACCCTATAAAACTGTTCATGGCAAACATCTAAAACTTGCAGGAATTGTTCAGGTGACAATCTTACAAAATGCCTATGCTTTAAATCTGAATTTGCATGGATTCTACAACAAAACACGACTCTGGAGGATTAAAACACATATACAAGAAAACGAAGTGTCTTTGAGAAATAATCTTTATAAGCATATACATGTCAGATTGACATGTGAAAAGTTGATCATTCCAAGTGAAATTTTCTGGATTGACACATGCACAATGAGGCAGTGAAAATGAAAGTGAGTAAATCTTAGACCCAGATTTACATGAAATTACAGTAATTTGCTACAAAAGGTATCTGTGCTGGTAATACTTCATGGCGGAACTAGTCCTATCAGCAAGGATTAAATACTAAAAGAGCAGACTAAGAGATCAATCTAAAGAAAGCTCTGTTGAGTCACACACTAAGGATACCTCTGATGTTTCATATCGTTTCCAACAAAAAGGCCAAGCAGAATGCCTCTAGGAAATAGAGTTGCCAGATGTTTTAGACACTAATGCTCATTATTCCTGGCCATAACAGCTGGGGCTCCTGGGTTTTGCAGTCCAAAACATTTGGAGAAAACCTGGTTGCATACTCATGATTCAGAACAGTCCAAAGCTACCTACATAGTTTGAGAACTGACAGAGGATTTTTTTCAACGTGTCAGCGACCAACATCCTATTTATGCTTATTGATTAAAACTCTGGTGCAGTGATTTTAGTGTTAGATTGCGACTCTGGAGACCAGGGTTCAAATCATAGCTCAGACATAGAAACTCACTGGATGACTCTAGGTAAGTCATATGCTCTCAGTTTCAAAAAAACCTTGATTAGTTCAACTTAAGAGTCACCGTAAGTCGGAAATTACTTGAAGGCACATCACAACAATAGCAGCAACAACAAAACTCTCCATGGACTCGAAGTCAATTAAACTACTTCTCTCTGTAGTATTGATCTAGCGATACCGGGAGAACAATAGCACAGATAATCCCAAAGGACACCCCATACCACCAGTGACAACAATTCAGATAATTTGGTTTCTTGTGCTTTTGTTCAGAACAGAACTTAGAAAATATGCTCCTTTAAAAAAAATAAAATCCCATAATCCCTTGTGGCCGTGAAGACAAATACGATTTTGAAAGTTGTGGTTCAAAAAAGTAACTTTTCCAATTTCTGGGTCAAGCAATAGATGAAACATTCATTGACAAGTGGGTCTTATTATTCCCAAAGGTCTTAAGATAGACAAAATGGTGTCATTTTTGATAAACGTGAAAATAGCTGGATTTGGCCACGGTGGTCCATGCCTTAATTACATCAAGTTTGGATTACTGTAATGCACTCTATGTGGGGCTGCCTTTGAAGACAGCTCGGAAACTGCAATTGGTGCAAACATTGGCAGCCAGGCTACTAACTGCGGCCAGCTATAGGGAGCACACAATGC